AAACCGTGGCTAACGGTGACAAACCGTGGCCAACGGTGGCAAACCGTGGCCAACGGTGGTAAACTGTGGCTAACGGTGACGAACGGTGGCAAACCGTGGCTAACGGTGACAAACCGTGGCTAACGGTGACAAACCGTGGCTAACGGTGACAAACCGTGGCTAACGGTGACAAACCGTGGCTAATGGTGGTAAAAGCTTCAGTCTTTAGTGAGGATGAACGGCTGCTTGTCAAGCTCCATTGTTAAATTCTTGAGATCTGCGTCCTCTCTTCTTATTTTGTTGGATTTGTCCAAAGCCTCAGCAATGATTTAAGTCCCAATGAGTTCATGAAGCTAGCTTGTTGTTGTTGTTAGCATTTTAGCAGAACGGACTTTGTGCTGCATTCAGGAGGTAACAGAGTAGTTGTTCAGATGTTTATAATTGTGTAACATACAGGGTTAATTGGTAAAATAATATTAATAATTATAAAAATGACTGGTTGTTTTTCAGCACAGAGTATTTTAATTATTGTTCTAGTTAGAAAGTTGTTTATTCCGACGACACTTGAAGGTTGCGCGGGTCGGGCAGGACGGGGAGCAGGTTGACCAAACGGATCAAAATAAAGAAGCAGACTCAGCGCCGTGCTGGTAAACATGTAGATATATTATCAGTTGACCGATCGTCCAGCCCTAATAAATAAATTGATCGTTCTGCAGACTCACCAGCAGGGGGCGGTACAGAGTGAGAGCAGCAGCTCCTTGTTTGTTGTAAACAAAGTGATGTTTGTGTTGTCTCAGCATGCTGGCAGATAAACTGAACATGACGCCGGAGGAGGCGGAGCGTTGGATCGTCAACCTGATCCGGAACGCCAGACTGGACGCCAAGATCGACTCCAAACTGGTGAGTTTATTTTTCTTTGTTTTCTTGGTTTCGGGTCAGGCTCAGGCCCGTTCAGACGTCCCTCAGAGCAGACAGGAAGTAGGACTGAACTTCCTGTCCCTGACTTCCTCCTCAGGGTCACGTTGTGATGGGAAACAACGCCGTGTCACCGTACCAGCAGGTGATCGAGAAAACCAAGAGTTTATCTTTCCGCAGCCAGATGTTGGCCATGAACATCGAGAAGAAGGTGGCTCACAGCAGCAGGAACGAGGTGAGCTCAGTGTTTGTTTGTTTGTTTGTTTCTTTGTTTGTTTGTAAATACWTTCTGTTTTCTGTTGTCAGACTCCAAACTGGGCCGCTCAGGACTCCGGCTTCTACTGAGCAGARGACCTGTCTGCACTTTGTTCTAATCATGACTCAGCAGTTTAACAAGTCTTCTTTTCAAAATAAAATAAAGTGTCAGCAGAGCAGCTCTATTGTTGAAGCTTTATTTTTATATTTATAACAAACTTTTATTGTGAAAACATTTCAGTTTAATAAATGTTTTTGTTTGGGCCTTTAGAAACTTTTGCTTCTTTCTTTGGCCACATGATGGTGCTGCAGCTGCATCATAAACTCTGCAGAGACCTGGTCCTGAACCTGGTCCTGAACCTGGTCCTGAACCTGGTCCTGAACCTGGTCCTCCTGAACCTGGTCCTCCTGCAGAAACTCAGTTTGATTTAAAGAAATCTTGACTTCAGATTTAATTAATTAATTAATTAAATGTATTTATTCTGCAGCAGTTGTTTTCAGCCTCTGGCCACGCCCCCTTCTGTCAGTAAATATTTGTCTCCTGTCAGGACCCGGTGGAACCGGTCCATGGTTTGTGTTCTGGTTCTGAACTTGGACCTGATTGTTCAGTTCGGGTCGTCACTCAGCTGTCAGTCATTAGTGCTGCTCAGAGCCGCAGGCGGCCATCTTTGTGGCGCCTCACAGGTGTGACCTGGATCAGGTCCAGACCTGGATCTGAGAAGCCCTCAGGTGAAATTCTGAGCGGGACCAGAGTTCTGCTCCTTCCTGTGGGGAGTGGCTGAAGGTTTCTGTGAGTTGTAGCCACTCCTCCAGGACTCACACGGTCCCAGTACCCGGTTCAGCACACACAGAGACACACAGACTCACACACAGAGACACACAGACTCACACACAGAGACACACAGACTCACACACAGAGACACACAGACTCACACACAGAGACACACAGACTCACAC